GTTTAATAATAATTAAAAACCCAAAACTAATAGTTTATGTTTTGTGAGTACTAGTACAGTAAAGTTCAAATACAGATTATTTCAGTTCATCGAAATGCTGCACCTTAATGTTTATTTTATTATATTTTGTATTTATTTGAGTGAATACATTATTTACAGTTTAATAATAATAAAAAATATATATATATGTTTTGTTTTGTGAAAAAAAATTCTGCTGTACCGAAAACGTACCGAACCGAACCGTGGCCAAAAAACCGAGGTACGTACCGAACCAAAATGTTTGTGAACCGTTACACCCCTACTACACGGTCTCGCTTGGTATGGCTAGGCCTCGTTAGGACTGGCTCACTTTATGGCACATTTCCATTACAGTTTAGGAACAGGGGCAGTATCTATAGTAACGCAGTGTAGGCGGAGGCGTGGCGTCATCTTCAATGAGAACCACAGAAAACCAGCATCAGCCGTTAGCTGTTAGCACTCAAGCTCACAGCTCCTCATATCTGTTCAGAAACTAGACACAAGTTAAACAAGTACAAACCACAGACTATCTGTGTCATGGCGAATACAGTCGCTGGTTTATTTATGTCTGTATAGGCCGTTGTTGTGAGTGTGGACGGTCGGAACATATACTGCGTTAGCTTAGCCAATCTCCATTTAGACAACACGCATTTTAAAAGGTTTTTCGCCTGCCATCTGTCTGCAGACTTGTTAAAGCATTAATTCATGGTTTTTACTAACCGGTATCAGTATGTTGCCAGCGATTCTCTCTCTAGTTTAGCATACTCAGCCCGACTCAGCCTGGTTGTTGGCCCGGAAAGAACCTCTATTTTATGGGGCCAGAAAACTGTGAAATAGTACCCGCTAGCCGGAACTACGCCAAGTGGAAACGCAACCAAAAACGGGCCCTGCACGGCTCGGCACGCTTAAAGCGAGCTCCGCGCTGTAGTGGAAATGCGCCATATGCGCCTTAATGTCTGACCAATGGTTGAACAGCATTTCCGTGCACATGACTTGTGTTTAAAGCAGTGGTTCTCAAACTTTTTCTGTCAAGCCCCCCCTTTGGAGAAAAAAAAAAGTCAGGCCCCCCCAACACAAATAGTCAGGCTCAGTGGCGGCGCCAGAGATTTCTTTTGGGGGTGCTGTGGGGTAGCTTGACATTTCATAGAGAGTGCTCAGACATTTAGGGTTTCCCATTAATGTACCGGTCGCTACAGTGGAATTTTCTACTGTAACACTCCCCACGCAAATACACAGTGTACAATGAAGGCACGATAATCAGCTCATGGCATATAGGTGTAAGCAGGGGTAAAGTGCTATTTTTATAGGTGATGTGTGGACCTAACATAGGGGGGTCCGGGGGCAAGCTCCCCCGGGAAGATTTATTTCTAAATATTGAAGTTGAAAGCATCAATCTGGTGCACGTTAAGAGCAAAATGAAGAGATCTATGGATACATCTCTCAACACCCAGATGAAACAGAACTGGAAACAGATTTACTGCCCCCCACTTTGAGAACCACTGGTTTAAAGTAAGGGCCGGCCCTCGGCATAGGCAGTATAGGCGAATGCTAAGGGCGCCGAAAATCAAGTTGAACTGCCCCAGCCCCAGTGAAAAACAGAGGTTTATGTGAAATTGTTCTTTTTTTGAAATAATGGTTTTAGTGTGCAATTATAGGTTTTATTTTTGTATTTGTATTCATTTAAAATAAATCAAACTCCCAAAAAACGTACACAGCTTCTGTGTGCTTTTATTAACATTGGAATTTACATTGTAAGCGGTCGCAGGGGGCAGAGCTTTAGAGAGCTCTCTCCTGAAAGACTGAGAGGCTCTGATAACCTCAGCTCAGTGAGGTAAAGGCACACCTTTATATGATCATTATAGTTATAAAAAAATAAGAGAATAGGTGAAAAACAGGTATAAAATACTATATGACAGTACAAAAAAGTTGTTATTAATAAACAGTGTTGGGACTAATGCGTTACAAAGTAACGCGTTACTGTAACGCCGTTATTTTTGGCAGTAACGAGTACGCTAACCCATTACTTTTTTAATTCAGTAACTCAGTTACCGTTACTACATGGTGCGTTACTCTGTTACTGCGTTAGTTTTTTTTATATAGTCAACAGCCAGGCGAACAGAGATGAGTAAATGTACTTAGATACTTCCTGTGTCACATGCGGAGACGGGCTGTGGGCGTGTTTGTGTTGTATACTAACAAGACTATCATGGCGGCGGCGGAGCTCAAGTCTAGTTTCTCCACCTGGAGATATTCTCACTATTTCACTTTTGTCGAGCACAAAGAAAATAACGTTTTAGTTAAATGTAAGTTGTGTCCTGGCGGGTCAAAGATCCTATCTACTGCCAAAACCAGTAATTCAAATCTCTTAAAACATCTGCAAAAACAACATGCTGGGACGATGCTAGTAGCTAAGACCACAGAGACTCAGCCGACGCCACTCCACCTCCACCTAAGCAACAGCGGCTGGATTTTAACCAAGGGACTGCTAGCCAGGGAAAAGTCGATAAAGCCAATGCACGGTATGTTGTAGAACACATGCAGGCTATTGCTACAGTGGAGTCACCCGCTTCCAGGGAGCTAGTTAGCATGATACCATGTCCAGGCGGCACACGGCATATGGGACGGAAAACTTTTTCCAACTACCTGGAGAAAGAATATACAAAAATGAAAAGCCAGCTAATATCGATGCAATCCAGATAAGGCATGTCAAGTTGATCAACAGATTGTATTATTCTCCAATGCAATAACAGTACTGAAATGAAGGCTATAAGGGCATTAATGGGAGACATTTTTTTAAAGTAACCAAAACGTTACTTTTCACAGTAACGCATTACTTTTTGGTGTAAGTAACTAGTAAAGTAACTGAGTTACTTTTTAAATGAAGTAACTAGTAATGGTAACTAGTTACTGGTTTTCAGTAACTAGCACAACACTGTTAATAAACAACAATACAGTTTGAAAGGGGAGTGATTTGTAAAATATCCATAAAGAAAAAGAAAATGTTTCATATGGGTGTTAAGAGATGTATCCATAGATCTCCTAATGTTGCTCTCAAAGTGCACCAGATTGATGCTTTTAACTTCAATATAAAAAATAGGTCCCCCCCCCGCCAACTTAAGGGTGCGTTCACACCAGCCTTGTATAGTCCGGTTGAATCGAACCCTGGTGCGTTTAGCCGCTTGGTGCGGATCATTTGGGTCGGTGTGAACGCAGTCCGAGACCTCTGAAGTGAACTAAACAACCGGACTCTGGTCCGCTAAAATAGGTGGTTTCGGAGCGCTTGCTAGTGAACTCTGGAGCGGTTCATTGCTGGTGTGAATGCAGCCCGCACCAAAACATAGGAAGCGTAGTATTTACGTGTCACAAGAACACGGATATCTTCAAAATCTTTAGCGAAAGAGTCTTTCAAGACATCTGCAGTTGTTTAGTTAAAGAGTGAAGCAGAATGAAGTGTTGAACTGTGTTGTGTAAAGTAAGAATTCTCCGTCAGCTACATAAAAGTAAGAACACCTGTCGTCGGTGAAACGCGCCTCCTTACTGCAGAACGTCTCTCATTATGTTATAATGTTTTTTAACGGACGTTGTCTGATGATATAATCATATGCGCGGGCCGCTAGTGTCTGTTGATCTCCAGATTAACAGCAGCATGAGAATAACCTGCCGAAAGTGCCGATGCTCCATGGCGGAGGCTCCGGTAGAAATTGCCGGGATTTGCGTTTTTACCCTTTTAATGTCTGACCAATGGTTGAACAGCATTTCCGTGCACATGACTTGTGTTTAAATTTTATAGTCCGTTTGAGTTTTGCCCGTGTGAACGCAAACCGAACCTTCTGAAGAATGAAACAATGTAACAAACTGTGGTCTGGTGCGCAGCTGAAAACTGACTATTAGGTGTGAATGCACCCTAAATCATGTTCAAATGGATAGGAAACTAAATACAGTTGCACACATCCTGTGTCCATATCTTTCGGTGTTGGTGGTCATGCCACAACCGTGCACGCACGAGTCATAGTGAGTGTCTGCATTTGGGGGGGGGGGTGGGGGGGGGGGGGACGGGGGGGCGCCAGCTAAAATCTTGCCTAGGGCAGCAAATTGGTCAGGGCCGGCCCTGTTTAAAGTTTATAGTTCGTTTGAGTTTTGCCCGTGTGAACGCAAACCGAACCTTCTGAAAAATGAAACAATGTAACAAACTGTCGTCTGGTGCGCACCAGAGAGCGGACTATTAGGTGTGAATGCACCCTAGTCTCTTTATTCTCCCCTCACAGTGCACCAGATTGATGCATTTAACACCCCCACTTAAAATATGTTCACATGGATAGGTTCCTAAATACATTTGCACTTTAAAAAAAAAAAATAGTAACCCCTGTCCATACGTTTATTATTGGGTAGTAGATTTAAACTATAGGGCTATCACTATGGTCAGCAACGCTGTAAATATTCACAAATAAATCAAGCAAAAATGGCACACAAAAAAAAACTGGCAGTGGCCGGGCTGGGTGTATAATTCCCGGCCTGACTGTCCCAGTCCGGCCCTGCATTACTGTAACTCCGTTACTTTTGTAACGCGTTACACACAACACTGGCCACAACCTACATAGCTAGCGTGATAGCATTGCATAGCTTTGTTTAGTCGCTCGCACTAGGTCACGTTAAGTTAAGCAGCCTGCGGACCGGCACCTACCTGTGCACGAGCTTCTTCCGAACCCCAGTACCTGACAGCAGAGACCGCTGGAGGGACATACTGGGGGCGGTGGGACCACCTCTGGTCCATAACAGCAGGTTTACTTATATTAGCATACAGCAGCTAGCTAACTGTCAAGACCGGAGAGCAAACGTCCCTCCTCCTGGTCCAGAAAACCACACTGACATAACCACAGAGCTGGGAAAACATCGACGTTATCCATCATGATTTAAAACCCAGCAGCGTCACCGAGATGCAATATTGATACCTCGCAGCAGGCTCCTTTTAGTTGTATACTTACCGCATAGGAAATGAGATTGGTCTCTCCATTGAAAGGCGCTGGTAATGTGTAATAGCAACCCACAAAACTCTGACATAAACGATTTTCGATCGGTGACCCAGTTTCTCTTCACCGTCATGCCTGTCGGACCACTAACCTAGTTTTTCAACCAATAGCGTTTGTGCTACCGCCGTAGTTGCCCCTCCAACCAATCACACAATAGTTCAGGCTGGGAAACTATGATGGACGTGCTAGTTGACCAATGATTGCTAGTGTCGAACGGAATACAGAGGCTACTTGTGTTGTGAGTCATTATACCAATGCGGTTGGTACAATACATTTCTGCAATAAAAAAATTCTTTAAAAAAAGAAAATAAATCCCATGCTCATAAAATGCTCATATATTTGTTTCTCTTCATTCCCCACGCCCCAAAATAAATAAATATACCAATTTTAGGAAAAGTAACAAAGTTTGAGCAGTGTGGGTTTTATATTAACAGAGTTACACATATTTCAAAACGCGAAGTGTAATAACTGCAGTTTGCCTCCCTGTCAGCATGACAAAGATCCTCAGTGAAGCACAACCACATGTTTCTCACTACATTGTAAGTACAACTTATTAAAAAGATCAGTTCAATGCAACTGTTATTATATATATGTACTGTAATGTTGTCTTAGTGTTATTGCATGATGTTAAAATTGGTTTGCCATGAATTTAGTGATGGATTGTAAACATTTGAAATGTGGCATTTAAGTGTTTCTCAGTTACAAGGTTGTTGTTTTAATAAATCAGACAATGATGGTGCAGCGCTGTACTGTACCTCTTTATATAGGCATGTTTTCCTTAACAAATAGTTGTTGCGCTGATCAGGGGGTACTTGGCTGAATCTTTTTTTCAAAGGGGGTACATTATTGAAAAAAGTTTGAGAACCACTGCTCTAAAGTACCGCAGTCTCTTCTCCTAAGTCCTTTTGAATTCTCCTATCCACTATCCCTTAACCCCTTGACGTTTCACTCAGAGGCAGGGGCGGCGCCAGGGGGTAGCTAGGGGTGCTGAAGCACCCCCAAGGATTGCCAAAGCACCCCCTAAGCACCCCCAAGAAATATGTTTTGTTTTTTTTCGAAAATAATAATAATTATTTTTATTAAATTAAATTAGAAAAATGATTGATTACATCAATGCAAATGTGAAACAAACTAAATTACTTTGTGACACTTGATTAGCTAGAGCGCCAAATTATTTGCTAACAGTAAAGTGAAAAATTGATTGTTTTTTGTCCTTAAACGTCCACGTGTGGACATTCAATAAAAACCACCTGAAAGCGAGAGGGATTCTGCACATAATAGCCTCGTGAGTACAAGTAGCTTACTTCTGGGTCTCTGTGTTTCATTCAAGCTCTGCTGTGTGTGTGTGTGGCACAAGCCATTTTGTGTGCACCGGTGGGTATCTACTGGAGATCGTTGTGGTTAGCATCTGGTGCTAGATAGCCAAGCTAACGGATATAAGGAGCTTTTTCAACAATAAGGTGGAGGGAGAACTCTCTCCTGTCAGACTGAGAGTCTCAGATAACCTCAGCTCAGGTGAAGTAAAGGACTCTCAGTGTTTAGATAGTTAACTTTAGTCTAGTTATCTCAGTGGGTCTCAAACGGTTTGTTTTAAAAGGGGAGTGATTTGTAAAATATCTATAAAGAAATAGAAAATCTGTTTACAGTTCTGTTTCATATGGATGTTGTTGAGAGATGTATCCATAGATCTCTTAATGTTGCTCTCAAAGTGCACCAGATTGATGCTTTTAACTTCAATATTAAAAAAAAATCTTCCCGGGGAAGCATGCCCTCGGACCCCACTAGAGGAGGTGAGGTCCACCCCCCACTTGTAAAAATAGCACTTTACCCCTGCTTACACCTATATGCCGTGAGCTGATTATCGAGCCTTCATTGTAACAGTCGTGGGTACACTGTGTGCGTGTGGGGAGTGTTGCAGTAGAAAATGCAACTGTAGTGCTGGTGCATTAATGGGAAACCCTTAATTTTTGAGCACCCTCTATGAAACGTCAAGCTACCCCACAGCACCCCCTAGAGAAAATCTCTGGCGCCGCCACTGATCTGTAGCCTGTTATTGTCTCATTATACCGCACTGTCAATTAATTAAAAGTAAATATATAAGTCATCATGAACACATCTGTCCATCAGACAGAGGGCTGCTGTGCCTCCTGTCATCATTAATGGACGTCGAAGACACGAGGATAGGAGTCGAGGAGGAGAGTCGAGGAGGAGAGTCGAGGAGGGGAAATTAGAGAATTAAGGCCCAATCCCAAACCGCCCCCTACACCCTACACACTCCCCCTCCGTGATGGAGTGAACTCCGTGGAGTGACACATGAGGCTCCCTCCTGTCAGATGGAGGGAGTGAATACAGCAGCAAGCTTTGGGACGGCCTCCCCTCTCTCCGGCAGAAACAGGAAATGCTGTAACTGTATGTAACAACGGTTTCAAATCAGCATCTCTTTGACAAAAAATGTAAATTAATAACTCAAATAAAACTCCAAACATCTTTCATTGAGTTACTTTTTTGTAAAGCTCTTTTAGTTTTAAACCTGATGTTTAGCTTCTTAGTTTTTGCAACAGTCTGTAAATATACACAACTTTATAATAAAAAGCACACATTTACCTTTTTCTAGACTAAACACAGGTATGATCCTACGTTAAAACATATGAGGTTATCATGAGGTTGTTAACATCGCAGTTTATCAGTGGATGTTTGCTGGAACTACTTGTAAACAGCGTGTTTCCTGACGGACACACACAGCGTGACTCCGGTCAGGTAGAGACCCAAGCCCCCAGGAAGTGCGCCGGACTCAGATGAAAATATTCGTGCTGGCCAAACGGCGGTACTACACTTCCGTTTGGTTGCCAGGCCCGGAAACACTTTTTCCCATTGACTTACATGGGGAAAGAGTGGTCTGTAACTCGTTGGATAATTTTTTTTAAACTAAATAAACTATCCAGTATGAACACTTGTATAGCCCTTATTAAAAACATTCGTTCCTCAAGTTGTAAAAATGTGCTAATAAAGTTATTCTGAGAGTTATTTCCCTCTGCATTATGAACGCGCATCTAACCCACGGGACCGCGCCGCCCGGCACGTTCATGTTACGTGTCCCGACCAATCAGAGCACACTGTGCTCCCAGGGAGGGTGGGGCTGGAGCTATTGGAGCTACAACGAGCCGTTAAAGGCAGAGTGAAATTCAGTGAATACACGTAGTTTACAGAGATGCTGTATGAGAAACCAATGTGAGTTGCGTTTATCTTTACCCATGGATGCACAATAAGAACGGACCCATATCGTCTTACTGCCATCCCACGGAGCTGTAATAATGGATATATTGCACATGTTTGCTGTAATTCATTATCATACTACATGGGCTGTATGATTAAATCTTGTACCGTAAATGTTGTATTAAATAAAGTTAATATTACCGACATTATTAACGTCCCTGTAGCTTCGTATTGCACTAAGAAGCTTATTGCACTGTATATAAATATATATATATATATATACAGTGCAATAATTATTTCATGCTAAATGAAGCTCTGTTGGATATCACTAGATCCTGTTACAGCGTAATATAAGTACATAACGATTGATGTGTACATTAGCATCATTACTAGCTAGCTGCTAACTGCCGCCTCGTTCATATCAAATCCATGATAACAACAAATCCATTACCATGCTGTCATGAACGCGCGGTGCTGTTACGTGTACGCAAATTGACGTGCTTGATGTGAACGAGCATTTTGGTTAAAGTTGCGCATGCTCTATGAGTGCACATACGGGTACTTCTCAGGCATGCTGGGTAATCTGTGACGTTTCACTCTCTCAAAAGTTGGGCCATTTTATCATCATGCGCTAATGAGCAGCTCTCATAGGAATTAATGAGGCCCCGCCTCCCACGCTGTATCCAGTTCTTATTATACATCCATGGTAGAGACCCGTCTCAAGTCAGCACCGCTGCAGACTCGCTGTTTGAGGGCTTGATAGCCCACTCCCCCTCCACACTCGTTGGTTTGGAACAGCCCTCAATATGGCGGACCCTCCGCGTGAACGCGCAAACGGAGGGGTAGGGTGTAGGGGGCGGTTTGGGATTGGGCCCTGGAGGTAATTTATAAACACACGCAAAAAAGAAAAAAATTAGAGAAATCTAGACCGCAACAAAATTAAACCAGCGAGTGCCTGTTTTTCCTGGCCAAGGTCAGGGTCCTTGAACACAACACGAGACTAACGGGTCATCACGTGGTGTCTGACACGTCTGACAGGGGTGCAGTTCTGACGGAGAGCACAAGAACGCGGCTCCGGCACTTCAGAAATTGCAGTACCGATAAGGAGCCTTACACATGCCGCAGTTTTTGCGTGGCTGTGTCTTTAGCTGAAAGATCTGTTCATCTATCATACTGATCATACAGTCAATAACTTTGTTGTTATTAGCATCTGGTCAGCTAGCTATGCTAACGAATATAAGAAGCTTTTTCTCTAAACAGTGAGGTAAAGGCACATCTTTATATGATCATTATAGTTATAAAAAAACAAGAGAATAAAGTAAACAGGTATAAAATACTATATGACAGTAAATAACAGTTGTTATTAACAAACAAGAATACAGTTTGAAAGGGGAGTGATTTGTAAAATATCCATAAAGAAAAATAACTCTGCTTACAGTTCTGTTTCATATGGGTGTTGAGAGATGTATCCATAGATCTCCTATTGTTGCTCTCAAAGTGCACCAGATTGATGCTTTTAACTTCCAGCAAAGCATGCCCCCGGACCCCCCTAGAGGAGGTTAAATCATGTCCACATGGATAGGAAACTAAATACTTTTGCACACATCTTGTGTCCATATATTTCTGTTTTGGTGGTCATGCCACAACCGTGCACGTGCATGCATGCGTGCGTGCGTGCGCGAGTCATGGTAAGATATCTGGATTAAGAGGTTAAGTTTTCTTTGCACAGCATGAAAGAAAGGCAAAATGAATCTGTGATTTTAGTATTTTTAAGCAGAGGTCAATAACTTGTATACGGCCCTCGGAGGATATTGTAAAAATTGAAATGGCCCTTGAGAGGAAAAAGGTTCCCCACCCCTGGTTTAGACACTG